GATCGGATATGCTAAGCCTGCCTTGCTGCTACCATTTATTTTAAGCTTTGAAGGGTCATTGTTTTAGTACGTCGTAATAAGTGCTTTGAGTACTCTAAGCAAGTCGTGGGACTATGTATGTGAAAATTTTGCAAGCGTGCTAATTTTTCTATGTACCTACTTAAAGACCTATAATGATCAAAATGGAACACGTAAAATACTAAGTAAGAGCGTATAGTTAGTGATTAGAGAAAAAATACGATGGTGAGTGAGATAGCTCTTCAAAAGGTAGGTAACAGCATATACTCCACATTTAACTTCTTTAACTGATTTTGCCGTTACATTGTCCAGCACTCAGTCTATCGCGAGACATTTTTATTCGTATAGAAGAAGATTGATTATAAGCTTAGATACCGATCAGTGAATGTCGCTGATAGCTTTGAGACACGATTCTTACTAGTGTTCGTACCCAGCCAGATCGCTAGAAAATAAGGACTCAAAAATAAACCATATTTTTTTTATTGAAATTACAACTGAAAAAAAATTCCGATTGGTTACAATTTTTTTTTATTTTTATTATTTCTTAGACAGATGTGTGGATGAGCTCTCCGCCCTGCTGGTGTTAAGTGGTTACTGGTCCCATAGACATCTACAAAGTAAATGCGCCACTCACCACAAATATAAAGTACATAATGTGCATGTCCTTATATTGTATGAACCTAGTTTTGTTTGGCTACAAGAGTGAACTAATAAAACAAAGATAAAAATTGATTGTACCACCGCTCCTGCTGTATAAAGTCATAAAATTTCATATTACGTTATCGGGAGAGCGTTATAAAATTGAAAATAACTCGTTTCGAGTTATAAAAATCATTTACGGCACTCTGGTACCCGGTTTTACTGCTTCATGGGCTTAGTGAGGTGGTGTCGTTAAGTGCGATTGATCTGAAGAACAGCGACTTGTTGTCGCGGTCACGGGTGACAACATTAAATAAATACATAAATATTTACTAACGATCACGCCACATCCTGGAGTGGCGACCACGTACTGGCAAGCGTAGTGTGGGACGGCCACCTACTAGATGGACCGACGACCTAGTAAAAAGTGCTGGGTCTCGTTGGATGCAGGTGGCAATGGACCGGTCGCACTGGAAATCTATTGGAGAGGCCTATGTTCAGCAGTGGACGGCGATAGGCTGAAATGATGATGATGATGACGCCACGTTAACTGGTCCCGTGGTAAGTTCGTAAAGAACTTGTGTTACAGGTACCAGATAACGGAAATAAATGTAAGATTTTTATTATACACATACATATATTTAATGTGCATTCATAACCCTGGAAAAAAGATATTTTTATATTTATCATACAAATATCTTCCCTTGGCGGGATTCGAACGCGCGACCCCCATGTGTAGTGACCGTGTCACTTACCACTACACCAGACGGCCGTTAATTCATAATATATCCACATAATATGTATGTAGCGGTAGCTATCATAGAAGAGAAGATATTTGACTAGTGCCTAAATATCGCTATCAACATTTTCACGATAAGCTTGAATACACACAAGTTCCGGACAATAACATTCGGACCGTCGGTCTACCGAGCAATTGTTAAGCTCGGCGGAAGATCTTCCTTATGTCGATTCCCCTAAATGTATGTAAATAAGTAAAGGTTCCTTGATAAAAAAATATCAAATACAAAGGTATAACAACAAATAAAAATATGTAACAACATACCTACCAGCTACTGTTAATTCTTTTCTTGATTTTTTACAATATTCCTTCTGTTTTGTTTTTGAAATCGGGGCCACACGAGTCAACAACTCTATACCGGAAGTTACAAATAAGTCTGATGTTTCGGTTTGAAGGGTGGGTCAGCCGTTGTCACTATACTGAAACCTTAGGACTCATATCTCAAGGTGGGTGACGCATTATGTTGTAGATGTCTATGAGCTCCAGTAACCACTTAACACCAGGTGGGCTGTGAACTCGTGCACCCAACTAAGCGATAAAAAAAATCGTCCGGCTGAGTGTTCTGACGCTTTGTCCCAGTGAAGGAAAATGATAGTGGGAGATTACTGCTCATAGTTTCTTATTCGATTGTGACAAAATAGCTTGACCGTCCGAAGAATGAAAGAGAATTGTCGGAAAGACTTTGACTGACACTTCTTCAGAAGGAAACACCTACTGTGAAGATTAAATTTGGTTATGGGATTGTAACAATAAACCCAAGCGTCGTCACCTCTGACGAGCTAAGCACATTATTTCAGGCACGTACTTCGAATCTTAACAAGATATCATGACACTAATCGATGCGAATAAATGTTCATGATTCGATCAAACCATGATTTTACTTTTGAGTGAGTGGCGGATAGGTTGCCGTCGTCGAAAGGACTTACTTAAGACATAGAGACAAAAAAGATGTGTCATGTCGTGGGATAGGAACGAAGTTCTTTATTATAAACATATTAATTTTAAGTTCTATTCGAGGTATAAAGAAAATAAAACTGGAGGTTTCGCAACAACCCACGGTCATTCGGTAACGTGCGAACTTATTGTGGTACACTTCATTCACGGTTGTTTTCATAAGAGTTAGTAGTGTATTGCGCAAACGAACGCTCTGAGATCGTGGCCAATGAATGATAAAAAAATATGTTATTTTTTGTACGTTATTACAAAGTGAAGTCGTACACTGTGTGCATTACTAATAAAAATCTTACGTAACGGACGTTTTTTCATGGTTAGGGTACACCTCCGCATCGTCCCATAAGGAACTTTGTTCTAAAAAAAAAACTAGAAATTTACTTTAAGCAAATACTAGATCAGAATGAGATCCTCCAGCGGATGTGGTTCCTTCAACGATGATGATTTACTTAAGTGTTTAAGGAAAACAAAAATAAACGTTATATTTAAAGTTAATGAGAAAATACCTATGAAATTTTTTGGAAAATTAAAATGTGCTTTGTTTTATCGCTTGCATTGCCGAACAACCAATTCGTGGCCGTTAAATTCCATTCATGCGTCTCCTAGTCCATGAGCCAGACAACTATTCGATTTCTTTAAGCTACGCATGTACACATTAACTTTCTTATTTTGCTCAGAGCCCTTTTCGTCCAATCATTTAGACTATTGTGGGTTTTCTAGTATTTATCTTTTATTTTCTAGGTTTCTAGGTTCATTTTCAAGTAGATTAAGTTATTAGGAAGCGTTAGCAGTTAGCAGCAAACGGCTGAGGTGATGAACAAAGAATAAACCCTTCAAACGAGATGAATTTCTCCAAATGTGGTCAAAAATAGATGTAGTAGTCAGCGGATGGGCTGATAACTATAATGGACGGTAACCATTTGATATGTTTGTCTGCCTCCGGAGACAACTAATAATATAAGTAAGGGCTAATTTCACTAGGCTTTCGTGAAACGTGGCTAGATTTAGTTTAAAATATTTTTTAGTTTAATCTCACGTTCCTTAAATTCTTTTCATATTTTTTTAATGTTTCGAAAATTTATTTTTAATCATAATTCGTGACCACGAGTACCTGTTTTGTTTTTATTATGAATAGTTAAATCATCATAATAATATTTAGGCAGTGTCGTTAATTTAACAGTTGTTGGCTCCTTGTCTACGAATTCGCGAGGTTGCCATATTCGCTTCTGGATTAATATTACACAGGCCGCAGGTGTGCTGCGCCAAATTGAAAATCGCTACCCACCGCACTTATTTTGACGCTCAGCTCTGCCAATATTACCGCACCTACAATCTTCCCTGCTATTAACTGGTAGCTTGCTGGTTTTTCGTAATTTTTTTAAATTGATAAATAAATGATATTAAGTAGTAATTCGTAATCATAACATAGACATAACGATGGATGCATCCCACCTTAAGGCATGAGGTCGTAGACTCAATTCTACCGCATAACGGCTGCCCCAAACTTCAAAATACATTACCGCAGAATTGTGCATGATATTGCTACCGATTCTGGTTCACAATACACCAGTAACTTTTTAAAGAAGTTATAACGCGTGAAATTGTAATTGGCCTTTGAAAGATGTGCTCCATTTTCTTGTATATGCGCACTGTTCTAGAAAGTATTTCCAAAGTACTTCGACGGAATAGAGTTCATCCATGCTACCTGGAGCCATTGCGTTCATCCACAGTGCGTTTCCAAAGGTCTTTTTTGCCACATACCATCCGCCTTTGGAATGAGGTCCCCTCCACGGTGTTTCCCGAGCGCTATGACATGTCCTTCTTCAAACGAGGCTTGTGGAGAGTATTAAGTGGTAGGCAGCAGCTTGGTTCTGCCCCTCGCATTGCTGACGTCCAAAAGCGACGGTAGCCACTCATCGTAAGGTGAGCCGTATGCTCGTCTGCCTACAAAAAAATAAAAAAATAAGTATTAGCGCCACACATATTTAACGAGAATTAGGCGTTCATAAGAAAAAAGTAAATGTCAAATTTTTTAAATTCAAATCGTAAAACTATTCCACTAAGGCACGAATTACGAATTTTATACATGAATTCTGAACATTTAAATTAAATAAACGTTTAAATAATAAGTTATTGATTACATTTTCGATATTGGATAACTATTGTTTTTATAGTTATCATAATAATCATTATAGTTATTAGTGTTATATTAGTGTTCGCAAAATTAAAATACATTGACAATTTTTATTCAAACCTTTATTTAAATATCAAATTATCGATTACTGGGTCTTAATATTTATTTCACGATAGTTTTTAAATTATGAACATTACATTAAATTTTAAATTATGAAAACAAAAATCGATGTATCAAAAATTTTACTACAAATTTTTTAACACATCGATTTTTGTTTTAGATTTGTACTTACAGTGGCACCTGACAACTGATGTTGTTTTTTTATTATTGAAGCATTACTGGTGGCCCGGAGGCCTTTCCAGTTTCACCAGGACAGGGGGGCGAGCAAAGGCTCAGCCGGGAGGACCTAACAACTCAGAAGCAATTGCTTCGCGAATGAATCTACTACCGGAATCGCGACCCGCTGAGAAGATCCGCGCTAATGTATTTATTTAGCATAGTGCTTCTTTCTCTAGAAATCAATTAAAACTTTTTGTACAGAATTGACTTTCATTTGGTTAACATTATTCGACTGTATTTATCGTTAGCTATTATAGACTAAGATATGCCGTCGCTTTTAGGTCGTCGTTGTCTAATTATTCTACTATATACTGAGTTCATGTAAACTCAATATTTTTAACGTTCTTTGTTTTCCCGATGTCCTCGGCTTGTCTTACTGTGTCCGGGAGAGAGTCGTCTGCGGTGTCCGGCACTAGGAATGTGACTAGGCCAGCCAGTACCGCTGAGATGCCGAAGATCATTGATGGCAGACCCCGCCAGTATGCCATCTGGTGTGACAAAAATATTGATGAAACGTTTTTAACGTTTAATGCAGAGTTCATCTATATTACAGGTTTTAATGAGACCTGTTTCATACGTACCATAGATAATTATTATAATTACGGCTTAGTATCAAATTTATTATTTTCTCTAAAATTGTGAGTAGGTACTTTATATCTATATATTAATACGTGAAGCGAAAACTTTGTATTGTATCCCTTTTTACGAAAATTGCGCGGACGGAGGAGTATGAAATTTCCCACACTTATAGAGAATATAGAGAAGGAGTGCAGAATGTTAATGTTTTTTTAAATTATGCATAAAAAATACATTAAAATGATAAAAAAAAAACATTACACGCACTACCATGTATTTGACACACACACGCATGCATACTATTTGTTTATTGTCAAACTTTTCTTATTGCTTATAGTCAGTGGTCAAATTGGGAATAGATTAAATGTTGTTTGTCTTTATTAATATTTGTCTTATGTGTAGTCTTGGCGAAATCTGTGATCACAGAAATATAAGTCTTTGACAATAAAACCATAATAATGTTCAAACTTATAATTTCAGATAATTATAGTCGAATTTCGACTACCTGGGGAACACTAGTACAGTGAAATATCTCTTACCAGCAGAGGGGTCTGCGGTGCAATAATAGAACCGATTCTTCCCAAAGACGAGCACAGAGCGTGCATAGAATTCCTGGTGTACGTCGGGAACAGCTCTGAGGTGTACATATACGTGATACTGAAGTAAAATGAAGACATCAGCTTTCCTGTTATGTACACTATCAACGATAACCATGGAAGATCTGAAACAAGGACAATACTTAATTGGGGTTTAATAGATAATACCGATATAGTTTGGCATTTTAAGCGAATCGCTTATTTAGGATTTTTATCAACTTTTATTTTTAACTTTTATTATATTACTTAGTTACTGGTGGTAGGACGTCTTGCAAGTCCGCACGGGTAGGTACCACCACCCTGCCTATTTCTGCCGTGAAGCAGTAATGCGTTTCGGTTCGAAGGGTGGAGCAGCCGTTGTATTGTTAAAAGTGAGACCTTACAACTCATGTCTCAAGGTGGGTGGCGACATTTACGTTGTAGATGTCTATGGGCTCCGGTAACCACTTAACATCAGGTGGGCCGTGAGCTCGCTCATTGTTAATTCATTATTGATCTTAGACTATCACAAGTTTCATATAACTTACCTGTAGGCAAAAAGGGCTGCACCATACACAAGACGCCTCCAAGTAAAAACGTCACAATAAGTGGATATTTCCTCTTGTAGTACAGTAATATGTACATAATCACGAAATTACCAGGGATGTCTAGTACCGACATCAGTATAAAGTTTACATATTTGTTTCCTTCTAATGAGACCGAGTTTATGATCAAACCGTAATTCACGAATGTGCATGTGCCCCACCATATAATGCAGATAACGCATCTTCTTAGCATCGTCGGCGAAGTGAACGTCAATCTCAGGAGATTGAAAAAACCAATCCCTTTTTGGTCCTCAGTATGCAGATCTTCCAAGACCCCTTTACCGAACTCTATTTTATTTTTAATCGCCGCGTTCTTCAGTATTGTTATTGCTTTATCCTTTTTTCCTTTGATGAGAAGCCATCGCGGGCTTTCGTCTATTAAATACGTGTAAAAGAAGAATAGGAATGCCGGTGTGTATATGGCGCGGAGATAGTTTCTCCAGTATGGCACCGCCCAAGCTGTTAATGGTAATATTATACTGCCCAAAATGTATCCGAGGCTGCACAGTAGGTAGTAAGAGACTCGTCGCTTCGTAGATACAATTTCAATATCTGAAATAACGATTACGTCTTAGTCCGTTTCCAAATATATTTAGAACTAGCTGCTGACCCGGCAGACTTCGTAGTGCCTCAATCGATAAATAAAAGACACATCAAAGGAAAAACAGTTATATAAAAACAAAATTGTTTGTTTTTATATAATTCCGATTTTTTTTATATTTTCTCACCTTTTAAACCTTCCCAGGACGTCCACGAATAATTCAAGACCAAAATTAGCCAAATCGGTTCAGCCGTTCTCGAGTTTTAGCGAGACTAACGAACAGCAATTCATTTTTATATATAGAGCTCATTCAACCTTATTATTATTAATAGGGTTGAATGCTATCTGAACTGCACAAACTACTAATAAATTTGATCGTAAAACAAGTTTGGAAATATTTGGCTGTCCAATATGTTTGTTTTTTATAAAAGCTATCGCGCCTGATATTTTAATCATCTGGTAAAATTCTTACTGAGAATATAAAGCGGAGAGCATATATCTCCTAGAGCTGATTCAAGAAATTCCAGTGCAATGTAGACCCAATACCATGACGTGAAGCTTTTGGTTAACCCGAAAACACCGCCAAGAACTCCCGTTATAACTATAGCTTTCTTTCTCCCTAACCTGAAACACACAGAAAAAATAGTTATTTTTTGTCACTGATTGACTTCGCTATGAATGAATGAATGAATGGATGAATGAATGAAAGAATGAATGGTTTATTTTATTTCAGACAACAACAAGTCCATATGTGTACATAGTATCATTGAAACATACTTATAATTAACAAAACCATTCAAATAAAAAAGATACATTAATTAAAAATAATTATCAGTTGAATACATTTCAAATATTCCATTCAACTGATACTTACTTCGAACCAAGTATTNGAATGAATGAATGGATGAATGAATGAAAGAATGAATGGTTTATTTTATTTCAGACAACAACAAGTCCATATGTGTACATAGTATCATTGAAACATACTTATAATTAACAAAACCATTCAAATAAAAAAGATACATTAATTAAAAATAATTATCAGTTGAATACATTTCAAATATTCCATTCAACTGATACTTACTTCGAACCAAGTATTATTATTATTATAATGAAGCTATGACCTTAATGATTATGGACCATATCATAATAACTCGAATATCGCCATTTACCATAAGACATGAACTTGAAGTCTCCATTTTATTGTATAAACGCTGGGCCACTTTTCAGATCGGAACGGGTAACTGTTTTGTGGCTTATATTGGAAGCATCATGATTGATGACACCTACTTGTATACGTCGTCAATACGCCCTACTACAAGTAACTAAGCAAATTATTTTTTCATCGCCCACAGTGATACAAAAATCAATACCTGCCTAATACTTCGATAATGGGTTCTTGCAAAAAAAAAATAGTACTTTTAGAAGTATCTGTATGAATATAAAGTACTCAAGATTTTAGAGGAAATAATAAATTTGATATTAAACCGTAACAGTAGCATTAATTATAATAATTATCTACGGTACGTATTAAACAAGTCTCATTAAAACATAAGTTATATGTTTGAATAGATTCCCCCTGATCGAAACAGCGTAACCAAATCAACATTATCATTTTGTCTAGATGACGTAGTGATCTATTTAAGTCTTAACATCAATAGTCACGTCTTCATAGTTGGTCACATTCTTAAGAGCATAATATGTTTGATAAAAGCGAAAGAAGTAAGGAAAAAGAATAAGTAACGCCGTAAAATATTATATGTGGTTTCTGTTTATTAAACAACTAGCGACCCGCCCTCGCTTCGCTTCGCTTCGGAAGCTGTAATTTATTATTGATTTCTCCACTATTTAATGGATGTTATTATACATATAAACCTTCCTCTTCAATCACTCTATCTATTAAAAAAAACCGCATCAAAATCCGTTGCGTAGTTTTAAAGATTTAAGCATACATAGGGACAGACAGATATAAGGACAGGGAAAGCGACTTTGTTTTATACTATGTAGTGATGAGCATTACATTTATGTGTTTTTTGTTGTTTAGAATGAATAACTTTTACTTTTGGTTACCAAGATGAATAGATCTGTCTTTAGAAGGCTAATTCATAGAAGGTGCGAACTGCACTAAAGGCGAAGTTAGAAGGCACTCCTTCTGAAGAGTATTTACGAAGGGCCACTCTTCTTCAGGGCTTTCGAAACTATTTTTTCTCCATCTCCTTATACAGAACGTCAGATCGACGATCTTTTTTGTGACCGGATTGCAAGGCTGCTATCTGACGATACAACTTACTTGCCCAGGATAGTTCGTCGAGGCAGAACCAGAGTCGTGTTTTTTTTAGGAAGGAAGGGGTACTGATAGCTTGAAGGCCTTTCCATTTTACCAGGACAGATAGGCGAGCACGGGCTCAGTTAGGAGAGATGGGATTTGCTAACAGCTGTCCGAGCGCCTCCGGAGAACACCTAACAGTTCAAGGGCAGCTGCTTCGGGAATGCATCTAGTCGTCATATGCGATCTTCTGTGATCGTCTCCACACAAATATGCCCAGTATTTTACCGCATTTGCATTTGTATTATAATGTGTTAAAGGTAAACAAACGGTTATCACAGCCACATAGCTAACCTTCGTAACAAATCAATCATGGAATATATTTTAATTGGCTAGCATAATAAACCTATTAATAATTAATGTTTCGTTAAATCACCATTCACGGCTTCGATTTTAGATAGTGAATGTGAATAGCCAAGCTCAGTTTACGGGTTCTTGTATTTTACAATAGAATTATATTTAAACACAGCCTTTTGGATGCTTGTGTTTCTTAAATAAAACTTCTAAATCGATCTTGAGCTTGTATTTTCCTTATACAAGTTTTTCTTTTTTTATGTTGCGATCAAGTTAGCTTGGCACGGCGATTAATGTTCTAGGTAAACATAAATAAAAATTTCAACATTGCTCATTAGAATTTAGTGGGCGTTAAGCTCGGCCATATTTTGGGAACTGTTTTTTTGTTGTTGTTTACATTTTGAAAACTGTGCACTTCTGTTGCCTAGCAACTTGTGTTTTATGATTTTATTAAAAGTAGTGGTCCTCCGGTCTATAAATTTGACTATAATTAATTGAAATTATAGGTTTGTACACTATTATGATTCTGTTGTCAAAGACTTACTTCTATAATCACAGATTTCGCCAAGACTTTTTACTGGTGGTAGGACCTCTTGTGAGTCCGCACGGGTAGGTACCACCACCCTGCCTATTTCTGTCGTGAAGCAGTAATGCGTTTCGGTTTGAAGGGTGGGGTAGCCGTTGTAACTATACTTGAGACCTTAGAACTTATATCTCAAGATGGGTGGCGCATTTACGTTGTGGATGTCAATGGGCTCCAGTAACCACTTAACACCAGGTGGACTGTGAGCGCGTCACCCATTTAAGCAATAAAAAAAAAGACTACACTATAGACAAATATTATTAAAGACAAACAATATTGTATCTATTCTCAATTTGACCACAGACTATAAGTAATAAGAAAAGTTTGGCAATAAGCAAATAGTATGCATGCGTGTGCGTGTCAAATACATGGTAGTGTGTGTAACGCTTTTTTTTATTGATTTAATGTATTTTTTATGCATAATTTAAGAAAATATTAATATTGTGCACTCCTTCTCTATATTCTCTATAAGTGTGGGAAATTTCATACTCCTCCGTCCGCGCAATTTTCGTAAAAAGGGGTACAAAGTTTTTGATTCACGTATTAATAATATATAGATTAACTCAAACACGCCGTTACATTACGAACATGCGTTATTGCATTGCCACATACGAACGTGCTAATTAGTTAATAATTATTGCAGTCATATTTAAATATAGTTAGAATTAAATGTAAAACGTGTGGCTTAGTACAAATCCGTGATATCCTGTTGCTACCCCTTAAAAAGACAGGAGAAATAGAATAGGCAAGTAAAAGAAGTGCTATAAAATTTATGGTACAATGATTACACTACTGCAGCCTTTTCCAAAGTCGACGATAATGCCCTTTTGTGGGCGATGCGGGCCTAAAAGGGGGGCGGAAAGAGACCCAGAAAAAAATAGGGGCGTTGTGAGAGGCTTGGGAGGCGATTAGTAATTTCATCTAGGAGAACGCTTAGACATCGACTGAACTCTAGCTATAGTGGTTTGTAAGTGAGTGAAGAAATGGGGGCGCTGAAAAATAATTTATTCTCAAAGTGGGCAGTAGACAAAATAAGTTTGGGAACCCCTGCACTACTGCACTACGGGAACAATAAATACGTTTATTATGTACAATGGCAAATGATAATTTGCGTCTAACTGATAATTTAATTTGACCAACCTGTCAGATATGGGTCCTATGAGCAGTAGACCGATCATATAGCCGAAACTGTGTGCTGTTCCAACCAGCGTACGTTTCCATTCTTGATCGCCAATCTGAAACTTTATTACCAAAGAGATATATAAGGATTTTAAGGGTGTTTCGTCATATTAAAAACATATATGACGATATGGCTTTATATCGAAAAAATAGGTAATGAAAATTGTTGGTAACTTGTTGAAGCGGTTTTTCGATAATACAGTAAGTTAAGGTTTCGGCATTTTTATTTAATGCTTAGATAGGTAGACGAGCTCACAGCCCACCTGTTGTTAAGTGGTTACCGGAGCCCATAGACATCTATAACGTAAATGCCGCCACACATATTGAAACGTGGTTTTTTTTCCCTTCCTATGCTGATAGCCTTGAGAGGCTATTTCAGCTTCGCCCTAACATATACGTGAGCTCATGGGGCTCAAGCCGGAGTATTGCTAGCACTGGCCCTAGCAAGAGCAGTACTTCGCAGAATCTACCGCTGGATCGGAAACGCGACCCACTGAGAAAATCCGGCGAGGAACTCAGTGGGCTGTGTCTATGGGTTAATTCGCTCGTCGAGCTCTTCGTCATAAGCGACGGGTTCGACGAGAACGGTGGCTGGGTGGTGCTTGTTATGGTACTCTACCGCAAAGAGAAGAGGTTACACCGAGCGGGTCCATGCTTGAAACACCAACGGGTCAATCATTGTTGCTTGGGACTTATATTAGCACAAACTTGTCAATTTTACAATAGGCAACAGCTTGGCTGTGACTTTGGTCACTTAGCATGAAATGGGTCGTTTGCTTGATTGAGATGAAAATAAAAAAAATATATATTTGAAAACTTTATTCTGTTTTTTTGTAAAAAATCTTTTGATTTTCCGATATGTAAGTACTACATACTCCAAGTAAAATGAGAGGGGGCTTATTTATTAAAACTGTCTAAAAATTTGTAAGAATTGTAATCTATACTAATATTATAAAGAGGAAAGATTTGTTTGTTTGTTTGTTTCGAATAGGCTCCGAAACTACTGGACCGATTTGAAAAATTCTTTTTCCATTAGAAGCCGACATTGTCCCTGATGAACATAGGCTACTTTTTTAAAAAAAAAATTAATTTCATTTTTTTGGTTTCATTTGTGTTTTAATGTTTCCGAAGCGAAGCGAGGGCGGGTCGCTAGTTACTATAATATATCGGTTAAGTAGCTGCTCCTTGAAGTAAGTACTACAACCTTGTACTAAGGTCAACGGCAGCGTCTGTATTGTGTACTTGATGCTGCTTTAGCTGGTTTTATCAATATTATTATTGCTTATTATTGTTTATTTTATTTTATTATATTATTGTTATGTGTATGTAGTATATTATTGTTTTTTCTACTTTATTATTTATGACTTTGTATAGAAGTAGAAATGATTACGTTAACGTGTCCATTACAATAGCATGTCGACGTCATTACGTATGTAAGTGAATTACCTTAGCTATTCCATCTTACTAGACGAAAGTTAAGATTAATTATAAGCGTTAGAAGTGACCGCGTTTAAATACGTAATTATGGTAGATGTTAAAAACACCGCTGACTCAGTGGCGCATAGTTGAACACCCCTGAATGATGATCCTAGAGTCGTGGGTTCGATTCCCACATCTGGCAAATATTTGTGTGATGTACAGGATTTTTTAGTTCTTTGTCTGGGTTTTCCATATGTACATCTATACTAATATATAAATCTACAGGGGTTTTTACGGATGTTCCGTTATAACTACTGAACCATGCATCCGATTGACTTGAAACTTGGTACCCATGTAGAAGATACATGTACATGGATAGGCTAATATTTATATGAGTGTTCGACTCCCTACACCAGTTGCGGAGGCGTTAATGATGAGAATCTTTGTGGGGGTGAGAAATAATAATGTTAATTTTAAACGCCCAGCGAAGCGGACGGGTACAACTAGTAAGCACATAAGTATGTATATCAGTATCATGTTCCTATGGTAAAGGGAATCCTAGTTTGGGGCTAGATGGACGTGCGTGACTTTTTCCGGGTTATTATTACCGTTCTGCGTCTTCTTGTGCAGCTTTATCCCTGGCCTTATTAATGTAACGTGACTGATTGTGAACGATCGCCTTTAGAGCTGCGTAGGCATAAACAAACATCTTAACACACAAGTTAGTTGTTTTCAGTACACCACGGAATGTTTCAGTTACAATGTAATTAGTCATTATAGGTCGCCCGGCGACGATCATCGATGTTTTTCATTTAATTTATTTGTTTAAGGACGCCCAACTGTACATACAGTAGAACTTAAATAATAAAATACAATGAAACGCCTGACATCTGTTACTTCAATAGCAAGAAATCTTAGAATTTCATTTTATAAAAGAAAATCAATATAAATGTGAAGAATGTAAATGATAGTAGGATACGAAATATTAACAGAAACAAGTAGGTACTCCAGATTGACTTACAACGTTGAATTCGTTAACGTATTCTTGAATGTAAAGCGAATCAATTAGTAATAGGCACCGGGACCCTAGTGGCAAATGTAGGAAAACGTTCCAAACACATACAAATTCGAGTTAACTTTTACGCTATCGAGAACGTTAAAAAACTGGCATTAAGCACACAGAGCGTATGATCCTCGATAAGGGCTCGCGCGGAATTGCAAAATAACTCCCGCTGCGTGGAGTGCATCGGCGATCACGCGACCACCTAATGTTCGTGAGTTAGGGAAACCGCGCCCGAACCACCCAGCTCCCAGAACCGTCAGCGCAAAGACTTCGGCGCCTTCAGGGCCGAAGCTGGCCTTCGTACCGGCTGCGGTTCCCACCGTCTTGGCTGGAAAAAACCGCTGCCGTATACGAAGGCTGGTACACAAACCGCACCCCAGTCCCCGCTCGGCGACTCGACATCGCAGTAGCCACCAAAGGATAGTGGATGCGGAAGTGGCGCATTGACATCAACCCCACGAAAAGCACAGCGGTGCTCTTCAAAAGGGGTCGCCCTCTTAATACCCCTTCGAGCAGCACTCCCTGATAGGCGCGTTAACACCTCCGCCATTCGCTCCATCACTCACTTTAGCCAACCCATATTGTGGGCTTCGAAGGTCAAATATCTAGGTGTTAACCTCGAAAGAGAGATTTCATTCCGACCCCACTTTAAAACGGTACGCAATCGTGCCGCCTTTACACTAGGATGCCTCTGTCCCATGATTTGCGAGCAAAGTAAATTGTACCTTCGTAATAAGATGACACTCTACAAAACTTGCATACGCTCCGTCATGACCTATGCAAGCGTAGTGTTCGATCACGCGGCCCGCACTAATTTGAAACCCCTTCAAGTCATTCAATCCCGTTTTCTGCAGGATAGCCGTCGGAGCAACATGGTTCCTAAGGAATGTGGGTTTTCATGATGACCTGGAGCTTGACTCAATCAGTAAGTATATATAGTTGGCATCATTGCGCCACTTTGAAAAGGCGGCACGACACGAAAACTCTTTTTTCATGGTCGCCGGAAATTCCATACCCAATCCTGTGGACCGAATGGTAATCAGTCGTTGTCGTCCTAAACACGTCTTTACGCATCCTCCTGATCCCTTAACGGTGCTTTTAGGTACCTCAAGCACCGGTCACCGTCCTCGCCGACCCCGTCGCTTGCACTGAGTTTCTCGCCGGATTTTCTCAGTGGCTCGCGTTTTTGACCCGGTGGTAGATTGTCCGAAGCACTGCACGTGTTAGGGTTCGTGTTAGCAACGTCAACAGGTTTGAGCCCCGTGAGCTCATCTACTAAAGTTAGGGTTACGCTGAAATAGCCCCTAGGGCTATCAGCTTAGGTAGAAAAAAAGCAAAATAACAAGGATTAAAACTATTTTTACCGAATTAATAATATATTATTAAAATATTAATAACATAATTTATGATTAATAATAATTACGCAAACGATCGATGTTTCGAATATTTTACGGTTTTCGTGGTCACGGAATACGGTCAGTCAGTTTAATCATAACAGCATCAACGACTCGTGAAAATCGAAGAAAATTATAATAATATTTTTTTTCTAGTACCCAACGAGCGCTGGGTAAAGAAATCAGTAGATTAAGACCAATAATTGGTAAGATTGCTAATTGATACTACTAACACCACACCGCAGTATGTTGTAAAAAAAAATTGATAATTTTGAGAATTTTTCGACAATTATGTTTACATTACTCTATTCTGTCCATCTATTGTATCGAACAATGGCTTATTAATATACATAATTGTGACGTATCATAATAATTTAGACAATAGATACTTACTTCTGCCACAAACGAATGAGGATCTTCGTAGGACCATTCTAAGCATCTACTTGTGTTTCTTTCAGACGAGCTGTTGTATAATGGATCTGTGCACCTGGAAAAAAGAAATTGAGGTCAATGTTATTCGATTCAATAATAATCTTTTGTTGAAATTTTATCAACTGTAAAGGTTTTTATTTATTTCATTTATTTATTTAAGATATTTTGTACACACAGCTGCTAGAAGAAACATGACAATAAGGATACAGAGTACAAGGGCACTACTTATTTCATGTTGAAATCTCTTCCAGTAGGCCCGGAAAGGGAAAGAAGAATTAGGAACACAAACCTAGTGCATACAGTAAACATTACATATAATAATATTATATACATATTACAAGATACAAAACAATATACCTAGTCAGGTCATAAATTCTGTCACATGTTTAATGTAAAATAATTGAAACAAGTTTATTCATTATGTAACCATTCATATACCAAAATGAACTTAACATAACATAGATTCTTATGACACTAAAGTTTATTCAAAATGACCTCCGTGATTTTGAATACAGGCTTTCAATCTGCGCGGCCAGTCGTCTATCGCAGCACGAACGAGGTCCATGTCAATATCGGCGGCTGCCTTAATCAAGGATGTCTTGAGTGACTCCAAATTGGGATGAGGCTTTGAGCACGCCTTTTCCTCCAAGTGTTGCCATATCTTGTAATCTAACGGATTCAAATCTGGACTGGAGGAGGGCCAGTCTTCGTGCCGGATGAAGTCGATTTCACGCGCCGCCAGCCAGTCTTGTGTGCTCTTCGCTCTATGAGCTGGCGCCGAATCTTGTTGGAATACCCAGTGCCTGTTATTGAACATGGTATGAGAAACAGGTTCCACAAGGTTCGTCAGGACTGTATTTTGATACACAACTGCATTCGTTTTTACACCTTTCTCACAAAAATGTACCTCTGTTAAGCCCCAATAAGAAACTCCCAACCATACCATGAGCGAGGATGGAAAATGACCTCGTTGGACACGCGGAATACGGTTGCTCGCTTCTTCACTACTGTGTGCGTACACCTTATCATTTTGTTTGTTGTAGCTCTCTTCTACGGTAAAAATTTTTTCATCCGAAAAAAGAATTTCCCGATATTTTTTTCCCGCGTACCGCTTCAACAAAGCGCGGCATCTCTTCAGTCTCAGGTCCATTAGACGAGCATTCAAACGATGTCCTGTTTTTCTTCGATATGCCCGAAGCCCTAAGTCTTCATTTAACACCCTTTTCACCGTGGTTCTGCTTAACCCCATCTGAAGGGCCAACAGTTTCTGCTTACGTTTGGGATTTCTTTGAATTCGCGCCTTCACAGCTTTTATCACTGCTGGAGTCCTAACAGACCGAGGGCGACCACTTCTTGACCTGTTATCTACACTAGAGTCTTCATTGTATCGTTTAATGGTACGATAAACGAATCTTTTGGCTATATTAAAAATTTTCAGTATGTTAAAAATTTGAATTGGCGCGTAACCGCAACGATGCAACGCAATAACTGCAACACGGTCTTCTTTAAGCGTCCACTCCATATTTCAAAATGAGTAAAATTCTAAAAGTATACATTTTTATTTTCATGAACAATTCGAAATTCGAATTCAATAAACTTTTTTGTGGCCAGCATTCTAAAAGAAAAGTTTTTACTGTGTGACAATACTTATGACCTGACTAGTTATATACATACAAATACACACACACACATACTTTTATTTAAATAGAGTTTAAATCATTTGTTAGTTTTTATGGATTAGCAGACGCGCTATCTGGTATTAAGTGGTATTGCGGCCCATAGTATAGACAAGTCAAATATCGCCGCTTACTTTTAGAGATACGGTGTGAGACTCATTTGTATAGTTGTTATCCCAGTGAAGGTCAATTGGGATCGTAGTATGCTGACACCACAGAACGCAGCTATCCATGCTCGGTGAAATTTTTAGTGACCTTTTCGAACATCTCGCGAATGTAACCGCGATTCTAGATCGACACTATATAGCTTTAACGTTTATTTTCCAGCGCACTTACTCTGCCGTGCCGAAGAAAACTCATCGGTGAGTTTAACTTGCCTTATTTCTTAGGATTAATTTTTAGGATTAGATTACTTGTTAGGATCTTTCTCGTTACAACCAACAATAAATTAATCAAATCTTTTTTGAAAATTTAATAACATTATTAATACGTTGTATATTTGGTGGCGTTGGCGACGCGGCGATGGCCTTCGGAAAGTAATAAATTGTAAATTTTGATTTTAAAATCCCTTTTATTTTAAATACGACAATAACAATTTGTTTTCAATTATCATATTGTTGATCGGAAGCAGTTAAGTATGCTGTCAACGGCATGGCCACTTCCTCAAATTGAGATCAAGGATGGATATTGTACCAAATAAGTTGCTCCACGTAAATTTTCCTATTTCCGTCACTATTCATTATGTAGTATATAATCTCTGAGTTCTGTTAAGAAATTCAAAACATATCACATAGGCATAGCAACTGATTGGTAGATCGACTTAAAATAGAATAAAAATAGATTTGTTTATTCTATTTTATTCTAGGGTGTACACAGNATTGAGATCAAGGATGGATATTGTACCAAATAAGTTGCTCCACGTAAATTTTCCTATTTCCGTCACTATTCATTATGTAGTATATAATCTCTGAGTTCTGTTAAGAAATTCAAAACATATCACATAGGCATAGCAACTGATTGGTAGATCGACTTAAAATAGAATAAAAATAGATTTGTTTATTCTATTTTATTCTAGGGTGTACACAGAAAGCACAATGCCAAAAATATTTAAATAGGACCTATGGTAAGCTTACGGTCATAATGACTTTCTTCCAGCAAACCCGCGACAAAGGAGGACGAGTATGTACTAGTAGAAATGAAACAAATTTCAAATAACAGTCTAGTTTTGTGATTCAGTAAAATACTACTGTGTTATTTAAAGTCTCTTACTAGCAAAAATAATAATTTTAATTGATAATGATGGGCAAAGTGGACTGAAAGAGACGTGCTGGGCGAAGAAAGAAGTCATGGCTCCGGAATATCCGGGAGTGGACCGGTATTGCCTCCGTCGAATAGCTGTTACGGCTTGCTGCTGATAGAAATAAATACAGGAAGCTAACGCCAACCTTCAGAATTGAAGAGGCACCGGAAAAAGAAGACTACCAAAAAGTTGTTTTTCATGCGCGTCTTGGTCTGTTACTGCTAATTGATTTTTAGAGTCTAGAGGAAAAACAATTTGAATGTGATCGCTGCCTATCATGAGATGTGACCTTGAAATCTTAATTATTTTATAAAATGACCGTTCCCCTTTAAGCTGGAGCACATGATTGCTTTATGGCAGAAATTTAATAGGAAGGTTGACTGCGCCGACACGTGTTACTACCGCCACTAGTAAATTCTTATTATCTGAAAGCTTTTGAAGTCATCGTGGCCTAAAGGATAAGACGTCCGGTGCATTCGTATCGAGCGATGCACTGGTGTTCGAATCTCGCTGGCGGGTACCAATTTTTCTAATGAAATACGTACTCAACAAATGTTCACGATTGACTTCCACGGTGAAGGAATAACATCGTGCAATAAAAATCAAACCCGCAAAATCATAATTTGCGTAATTACTGGTGGTAGGACCTCTTGTGAGTCCGCACGGGCAGGTACCACCGCCCCGCCTATTTCTACCGTGAAGTAGTAATGCGTTTCGGTTTGAAGGGTGGGGCAGCCGTTGTGACTATACTGAGACCTTAGAACTATATCTCAAGGTGTGTGGCGCATTTACGTTGTAGATGTCTATGGGCTCCAGTAACCACTTAACACCAGGTGGGCTGTGAGCTCGTCCAAACATCTAAGAAAGAAAAAAAAAAAAAAAGTCGGGCTGTGACATGCGATTATACGAACTAAGTCACGCCTGCGGGATTCGAACACCGGTGCATCGCTACATACGAATGCACCGGACGTCTTATCCTTTAGGCCACGACGACTTCAAATCTTCAATTTTGTTATGTAAATTCTACCAATTAAAACAGTGCGTTTCTACCATCCACAATTCAATGTTTTTCAAGCGAGTCCTCCTAAGTAGGCTAGGTAGGTTTGTAAGATATCAGCGCGTCTGCTAGGTTTTTGTGGCAATCAAATACTATACGTACATATGTATATGCATGATCGCATAATACTCACCTGTACTCTATTTTTTCTGCCGCAAATATGTAATTGGAGCAATACATCGAATTCGATGCGTAGGCAAATGCTAAGTAGAGTAGCAATTCGATGTGGTAACGACCGAAGATGCTGAATTTACTTAATACATCATCTAGTTCAGTATATTTTATTTGTTCCATTTTAATTTTATGGATACGCTAAATTCTTAGTTTAAATTTATCAAGAATTTGACCTTAATATTTAATTAAATTAATTCAATATTTAGTTCGACGATGTGAAGAAATTTCTCCTTGAGATAAATCATTAGAACACAACACGCATAATAATTTGGGAAATAGTGAATTTAAATCTTAAGTTGATTACGTTAAGATTTAAAAAAGAAAACACTGTCTTGACTGAATGTTAAAGAAGAACATTGAGAAAATTAAAAACCTATTCCCTTTTTAGTTTCCCGAAAAACGAATTTAATGATTTAAATATTTTTTAACTTATTGTTTTTTAGTACACAAATAAATAACAAGTTAAAGTACTTGTCATTTTCATGAATGTCAAAAATTCTAGTCCAACACTCAATAGTGATAGAGTTTTGTTTAAAAAATCACATTTGGCACGCACGAAACTAGTAAAAATTAACAATTTCTCGATTACGTTGCTACATGCTACGTTTTTTTTTTTTTTCAAACACTATAATTCTTTAATATCCGCGAACGCGGCCGGTTTCTATAGAGAACGAAACAAAACAACATCCTTTCAATTGTAGGGTGATTGTGTCGGTGAGCCGGCGGCGTGGATTGGCAATGACTGATCAAGACTAACAACTAATTTCGTGCTCATTCAATCGATGTGTTCTTAAAAAGATACGACCAGGGCCACCGATCAGCCATAGAATGGCTTAGGATTGCATTATATTCGACGAATGCGCGTTGTATAGAGCAGAGGTCGGCAACATTTTGTGTCGCAAGATCCAAACAAACATTACGATTTGAAAAATTTTAAAGTTCTTAAAGAGCCACATAAAAATTCTTGCCAAAAATAAATAGTACTTGCACAAATAAAAAATTTTGATAAACAAAACGAATTTAATTATTCATAAGAAAAATATCTATTTATTCTAATATAAGTAGTATTTTTTATAACAAATTAGATAAAATATATATGGTATTATTAGATGATCACTTATTATTTGAGTAAAAAATAAAAATAATTAAACATTTACTTACAACAATGTGCAATCCTTGTTAGTCGATTCAGAACAATTTTTAAATGTTTTCTTTTTATTATAAAATAAATAATATTTTCGTATGGAACTAAAGAGCCGCAGTTTCATAAGTTATATTCATAATTATATTTATTATTATATAATTATATTCATATTTCATAATTCATGAGTTACGATTGCAGAACAATGAAACTTTTTTCGATACTTTAAATAAATAATTTTCATATTGCAGCCAACAGGAAGCATATGATTTAAATCAGATGGCAAAATAGTATTTCATAAAAAAACGGCTTTCATTTGCTGTATCAATGACCGTAATAGTCCCAGTTGATAGAAAGTTTTTCAAGAAAAACAGTGAATTATTTTTCCTGTAAAATTTGCTTTCTTCGATTGCCGACTTATTGCACGGGGGCGTCGATATGCAAAGAGCCACATGTGGCTCGTGAGTCTCAGATTGCCGACCCCTGGTCTAGAGTCACTTGTGGTCCATCTGGTGGCCAAGAATCCAATTTAAATTCAACCGCATTAACAATATTTTACTCTCTTTTACTATTTTACTTACTTTCTCCATTAACTAAAACTGGAGGTCCCGCAGTAGTCGAAATTCGACTATAATTAATTGGAATTGTAAGTTTTTACACTATTATGATTGTATTTTGTCCTTCTAAAATCACAAATTTCACCAAGACTATACTATAAAAAATATTAACAAAGACAAAAAATATTTAATTTATTCTCAATTTGACAACAGACATCAAGAACAAAAGTTTGACAATAAATAGTATGCATGCGTGTGTGCGTCAAATGCATGGTATGTAGTGTGTAATGTTTTCTTTATTGATTTAATGTATCTTTTATACATTATTTAAAAAAAAAATTAGCATTGTGCATTTCTTCTCTATATTCTGTTTAAGTGTGGAAAATTTCATACTCCTCCGTCCGCGCAATTTTCGTAAAAAGGGATACAAAATTTTTGCTTCACGTATTAATATATAGATACACAAAAATAGTGATAAAGTGAAACAGTCTACAGAGAACGCTTCATTCCCACATCGTGCTTTCTGTTGTCATGAAATTTATAATAGCTTCACCGCATAAACTTTTTAGATAATATTTGAAATTTATGGATAGATAAGAATTGAACGTTGTGGGAATCTATTTAAGATTTTTATTTACGCAGATTTTTATTTGGATATAATTTTTTAACGCGGTAGACATTCATAATGATGCGTTTGGTAGTGAGTACGAAATATTGGTACCTGGTAAAGTATTTGAATGGACACTTTACATGGGTAACTATTTTAATTTGGTTTTTTTGTTTGCTTAACTCATACTATATTTTGATAAGCTTTGTGAATTGTCAGAGTTTCCTGAGCAACTTTTCCAATTCTTCTCTCTCTAAAAACTTTATTGAAGCTGTAACTAATATAAAAAAAAAGTTTAAAAAACTAACAAAATACGCTTTTATAGAAGATCCAACTAAAAAATAGAAAATAAATTTTAATAAATTTAAATTAAAAATAGTGTAAGAAAAAATGTTTTTATTGTATTTTTTGCACGTGGGGTGCTTTTTAGGATATTATCAAAATCTCTACTAATATCTGTTCATAAAATATTTATAACTACTGATACCATGCACCCCACACATTTTTTCAATAAAATAATTTTTTTCTTACACTATTTTTAATTCAAATTGCAAAGCTAATAAAAGCGTATTAATAAAACCAAATCCGTCCAACAGTTCCCGACTGACTGGTCTACCAACGAATGGCCTTTATTTTGTATTATCAACATAAATTAAGAATGAGTTTGACATCGACATCAGATAGCAAGAGTTTTGGTATAAGCGTTATTTATATATACGAATATAGCGCTATCGAAACTTAGAGTATTGATAGCTCAGGCACGCCTAGTTATATGTACGTAGGTGTTAAGACGTCTCCCCGAACTTTGTAAATTAGATTACCTGAACTCCAAGTACAGGGTCGTATTCCATCGGCGACTGCGATAGATACACGATGATATACAGGGTGTTATACGATGATATACAGGCAACTTATCTTGAATTTGGGCTAATGTAGCACGGTCGTAGGCTGTGCTGTTGGTATTAAAAATTTTTTTTTTTATTGCTTAGATGTGTGTACGAGCTCACAACCCACCTGGTGTTAAGTGGTTACTGGAGCCCATAGACATCTACAACGTAAATGCGCCACCCACCTTGAAGTTCTAAGGTATCAACTATAGTTACAACGGCTGCTCCACCCTTCTAACCGAAACGCATTACTGCTTCACTGCAGAAATAGGCAGGTTGGTGGTACCTACTTGCGCGGACTCACAACACGTCCTACCACCAGTAAATTTTAATTTATCATTGTATAATGCATTTCATTACGTATCAGTAAGTGAAGTTTTTTGTTGAGACAATTATTCTGTAAACAATGCACAAGTTGTTGGCTCTCCACGCGCTGTGCTTGTATGCGACGGACGCGGCGTCGTAACTCGGTCAAGTGAACAAGTCCTCTGGACCTGGGATCCAGCTGTCAAATCGTCGAAACTTCGTCTGCTCCGCACCGTGTCTTATTGTGAAGTTCAAGTTGTAGATTGTGGCGATTTGATGGAAATCATTAGTAAATTTAAATGGTATAAATTAAATTTGCTAATATAGAGTATACTTCACGCCATAGATTAGCAGGTTTTTGTTATATTTCAATACTTACGACCTATATTGTATCTGTCAGGTTAAAGTCTTTTATTTATTCATTTTTATTGCATAGATAGGTGGACGGCCTTACAGCCCACCTGGTGTTAAGTGTTTACCGGAGTCCATAGACATCTACAACGTAAATGCCGCCACCCATCTTGAGATATGAGTTCTAAGGCCTCAGTATAGTAAGTTACAACGGCTGCCCCACCCTTCAAACCTGCCACTATACACTTTTTATGAAACTTTGATTAAGATCGATTTCTCTTTTCTGTAATAACCTTTGTTTCTGTTTTATATTTTGTAGCGGTTCACTGTTAGAATTCTTATTAGAGTAGAGATGTTACGGTACTCCTTATTTAAGCAAATTCCACCGTTTTAAGAGCCTATGATATTCTATCCTATCTAACGTATAAGATGAGGTGCATTCCGGCCTTTTGTTTTGATAATTATCTAAGTCAGTGATTATCAAACTTATTTCTTTTGCCGCCCCCTTTGAAAATCAATTATTTTTCAGCGCCCACCATTTTTTATACACCCCTAAAAGTTAAAAACCACAATTTCACAAATAATACATCGCCCCCTAACCCACATCAATACCCCTCATTTTTTCTGGGCCCTTTAACGCCCCCCTCTAGGTTTCAAACGCCCCCAAGGGGGCGCTATCGCCCGCTTTGAGAAAGACTGATCTCAGTAAAGTAGAACGGAAGCTTTGTATATAACATGAAGACATTAGACAAACCTGTAAATAATTAGCCTGTGATCCGGTCGTAGATTATAATAATGATATAATATATAATAATAGAATAATTTATTTATTAACCTTGAAAATATTTACATATAACAGTTTGCTAAAAACTCTCCACACTAGGCACTGCCTGTTGGCATATTGCCTACTGCCATCATTCGCATAGCAGCTGCTCTTGAGTTGTTAGGTCTCCTTCGGAAGCGCTCGGGCAGCTGTTAGCAAATCCCACCCATACTGGCTGAGCCTTTGCTCGCCCACCTGTCCTGGTGAAACTGGAAAGGCTTCAACTATAAAAAAGATGTGTGGTGTCGTGGGACACCGGATAGGAACGAAGTTCCTTATTATAAAAATATTAATTTTAAGTTCTATTCGACGTATAAAGAAAATAAAACTGGAGGTTTCGCAACAACCTATGGTCATTCGGTAACGTGCGAACTTATTGTGGTACACTTCATTCACGGCTATTTGCATAAGAGTTAGTGTATTGCGCAAACAAACGCTCGGAGATCGTGGTCAATGAATGATAAAAAAGCCAATTTTTTGTACGTTATTACAAAGTTAAGTCGTACACTGTGTGCATTATTAATAAAAATCTTACGTTACGGACGTTTTTTCCCGGTTAGGGTACCCCTCCGCATCATCTCATAAGGAACTTCGTTCCAAAAAACATTATCCTGTACGGCGGCAGTACCTTCCTGCCTACCTACCTAAATTCTAAAACATCAGAGAATGATAGTTAGCCTTTGTTTTCGCCTGTGACATGCACCAGGGCGTGTTTAGAAGCATGTGTAAACAGAATTAGTCGAGTTTGCGCGGTACGCGACCGCTCCTTCAGAGGTACAATTGAATTAGGTTGAGCACGTAATTATAGAGGGACCCTTGTCGACGTTCAGCTCCGTAATACACACGTCGTCTGCTACCGGAGCCCCATTATCGTGGAATAGGTACGTCGGTTCGCTAGAGATTTAAAGGAGTGCCTTTATGTGATTTATTTTTTATTGTACAGACGGGAGTGAACCAGGCAATATTTACGATCTTTTTAACAGACTTCAAAAAGGAGGAGGTTTTCAATTCGACTGTACGTTTTTTTTTTATGTTTGTTACCTCATAACTTTTGACTGGGTGAATCGATTTTGATGATTCTTTTTTTAT